TCAAAGGGAGGATCCCACCATCTCTCAGCAATCTTACAGGGCTGCTGCACCTCAACCTGTCGTGCAATTCACTCTACGGCAGTCTGCCAGCAGAATTGGTGTTCTCCAGCAGCATCATCATCTTGGATGTCAGCTTCAACAGCCTATCTGGTCCTCTGCAAGATTGTCAGTCCCCAATTTCTGGCCTTCCTCTCAAGGTACTGAATATCTCAAGTAACTTCTTTACAGGACAGTTACCATCCACAACACTGCAAGTGATGAACAATCTTGTCGCTCTTAATGCAAGCAACAACAGCTTTACAGGACCATTGCCATCCTCTATTTGCAGCAACGCCCCATCACTTGCCATGCTTGACCTTTTCTTAAATGACTTCAGTGGCACTGTTTCCCCAGAGTTTGGCAATTGCTCCAAGTTGACAGTACTCAAGGCTGGCCGCAACAACCTTACCGGAGGTCTACCCCATGAACTGTTCAATGCTCCCTCATTGGAGCACCTCTCTTTTCCAAACAATAATTTGCAAGGGGCACTTGATGGTTCCAGCCTAGTCAAACTCAGTAATCTGATATTCCTTGACCTTGGATCAAATGGGCTTGAAGGAGAGATGCCAGATTCTATTGGGCAGCTGGGAAGATTGGAGGAGCTCCACTTAGACAACAACCTGATGATCGGAGAGCTGCCATCGGCCCTAAGTAACTGCAGAAGTCTCAAGTATATCACCCTCAGAAACAATAGTTTTGTGGGAGATCTTAGCAGAGTTAACTTCACCCAGATGGATCTGAGGACTGCAGATTTTTCACTGAACAAATTCGGTGGAACAATTCCTGAAAGCATATATGCATGCAGCAATCTAATTGCTTTGCGATTGGCTTACAACAACTTTCAAGGCCAGTTCTCACCAAGAATAGCCAATCTCAGATCCCTTTCCTTCCTTTCAGTTACCAATAACTCATTTACAGATATCACAGATGCACTTCAGAATCTCAACAGATGCAAGAACCTTACCTCCTTGCTAATTGGAAGCAACTTCAAAGGTGAAACCATACCACAGAATGCAGCAATTGATGGTTTTCAGAATCTTCGGGTCCTAACCATAGATGCATGCCCATTGGTTGGGACAATCCCTCTTTGGTTATCAAAACTCACAACATTGGAGATATTAGATCTATCATACAATCACCTTACTGGAACAATACCATCCTGGATTAACAGGCTGGAACTCCTCTTCTTTCTGGACATATCAAGCAACAGGCTTACAGGGGATATCCCACCTGAATTGATGGAGATGCCAATGCTACAATCTGACAAGAATGCTGCCAAGTTGGACATGAAGTTCCTTGAGTTACCTGTATTTTGGACACAATCACGTCAATACCGTTTGCTCAATGCTTTCCCCAATGTATTGAATCTATGCAACAATAGCTTGACAGGCATAATTCCCCAAGGGATTGGTCAGTTGAAAGTGCTCAATGTCCTCAACTTTAGCACCAACAGCTTATCTGGAGAAATACCACAACAAATTTGCAACCTCACCAACCTGCAAACTCTAGACTTGTCAAATAACCAGCTCACAGGTGAACTACCAACTGCACTGAGTAATCTTCATTTCCTTTCTTGGTTCAATGTGTCTAACAACGACCTAGAAGGGCCAGTTCCAAGTGGAGGACAGTTTAATACCTTTACAAATTCTAGTTACATTGGAAATTCCAAGCTATGTGGTCCTATGCTCAGTGTCCATTGTGGCCCGGTAGAAGAACCTCCAGCCTCAATGAAAAGGAGGCACAAGAAGACCATCTTTGCGCTTGCCTTAGGTGTGTTCTTTGGAGGGCTTGCCATGCTTTTGTTGCTGGGACGTCTTATTCTGTTCATCAGAAGCGCAAAATCTGCTGACAGAAACAAGAGCAGCAAAGACATTGAAGCAACTTCATTCAACTCTGTTTCAGAGCACATAAAGGGAAGCATTTTGGTGATGGTACCTCGAGGAAAGGGAGAATCAAACAATATCACATTCAATGATATCTTGAAGGCCACAAATAATTTTGATCAGCAGAACATTATTGGTTGTGGAGGTAATGGTCTAGTCTATAAGGCTGAGCTACCTTGTGGATCCAAGCTTGCGATCAAGAAACTCAATGGAGAAATGTGTCTGATGGAAAGAGAATTCACAGCAGAGGTTGAAGCACTCTCTATGGCACAACATGAGAATCTTGTGCCACTATGGGGTTATTGTATCCAGGGAAACACGAGGCTCCTCATATATTCTTTCATGGAGAATGGGAGTCTTGATGATTGGCTTCACAACAAGGACAATGCCAACTCATTTCTTGATTGGCCAATAAGGCTCAAGATTGCACAAGGAGCAGGCCGGGGCCTTTCTTATATCCACAACACCTGCAACCCTAACATTATTCATCGTGACATCAAGTCCAGCAACATCTTACTTGACAGAGAATTCAATGCTTATGTTGCTGATTTTGGCCTGGCAAGATTGATCCTTCCTTACAACACACATGTCACGACAGAGCTGGTAGGCACTCTGGGTTACATTCCTCCCGAGTATGGCCAGGCCTGGGTGGCCACACTGAGAGGTGATATATATAGTTTTGGAGTGGTCTTGCTTGAGCTGCTCACAGGGAAGAGGCCCGTCCAGGTTTTGACCAAGTCGAAGGAACTTGTCCAATGGGTAAGGGAGATGAGGTCCCAAGGAAAGGATATTGAGGTCTTGGATCCTGCTCTCAGAGGAAGAGGACATGACGACCAAATGCTGAATGTGCTTGAAGTAGCCTGTAAGTGCATCAACCACAATCCTGGCTTGAGGCCGACCATCCAAGAGGTGGTGTACTGCCTGCAAACTGTAGTTGAGCCCCTGCAGGTGCAGGTGCAGATGTAATTAAAGGAGAACATATTGTAGGTGGCAATATTGTACTCCACCAGACTAGGCTAACAAAGAGCGCAGTACTGTACATTTCTTAAAGAAAAGTCTCACTGTCATGAGGCCCTGTATACAATTTTCCTTATTCCTTCCGTGGAAATATTGCACCTCCTAGTTCAAACGATTGAATATGGAAAGTGCATAAAAAAAAAGGCATTGGGCTCTTGCTTAGTATGCCTACATTTGTATCCTAGTGAAGTTGTACAGTTGTGTCTGTAAATCTGTGAAAAGAAAAGGCTCACAGCTATGAGCTTCTGTCTACAATTTTCCCTCTTGTTATCTAAAACCTATAGTGCTCAAGTTCAATTGCAGGAACAGTGAAAGCACTTTGAAAGCGTATTGAGCTATCAATTAATTCATTAACATTTCTGGAACTGTGAAACATGTACAGATGCCTGTATTAGAAAAGATGGATAGCATAATTGAGGAAGAAGGATGGACTTTGCTGATTTTTTTTTATCTGAGAAGGGGAAAAGATATGAAGTACCATTGTTCAGAATTCAGCTTACTGTTATTGCTGTGAGAGGGGGCAATTTATGAACTAGTGGTGTTCAGATTTAACTTAGGAGCATAATCAGTACATATTGTTCAGTTTCAGTTTGGTTCCCTCCCTCCCCAACAATATGATGTCCAAGCTTACATGGCTTCGTTTCCAAGTTCCAACAGTCCTACTGTCCTAGAGGCCTAGAGCAACCACAACAGCACAATGGCGGAAGCAAGACCACAAACAATGCACATTTCCACAGGCCACACCATCCTAACAGCCCGACAATTTTCGCATGCAGAATGCTAACACCAACAACCCCTAGCAAAAAAAGGCAGCGCAGCACCAACCTCTAATCTAGCGAAAACAATTGTCAGGGGCATCAAATGACTTACTAACCAACAGGAACGGGGACCGGTCGCGGTTGCCGCATGCTGCCTACCGTTGGTCGCCCAGCCAGGAACGAAAAAATTGCAAAAATAACAATGGAAAGATCGTTCCTTATTACGATGACACTCGGTGGACCTATGAATATGGATCAATGTCAAATCTGTAAATGACCGATGTTTCAAAGTCCCATTTTTGCAAATAGCCCGGCCAGGAACGGGCGTGAATCCATGCGGAACGGGAGGGGGCGCTCCGTCGCGGCCAGAAGGCCAGTGGCTGTGCCTGTGCGGCCGTGCGGGCGGAGGAGGCCGCCGGGGAAGAAGACTAAAACTCTGAACTCGGTCTCCTTTCTCCGTGGGCCGACCCATTCTTACCGGTAGATGGGCCTTTTCTGGGCTAACGCTTCCCGTTCTTACCGGCCCGGTTCGCCCCGGAGCGTTTGCCACGGCGCGCCCGACGGTGAGCCTCGCAGGCGCGCAACCCCGCTAGCCGCTACGCCTTTCTCTTCTCGCCACTCAAGCGGCGAGCCAGCAGCGACCCCGCCGCCGCCGCCGCTACCTCACGTCCCGCCCGTCCGCAGCAAGGTGGGTGAGTTCCTACTTCCTTTCCTCCCTGCTTCATCCCTAATCCGGCAGCAGCGACCTCCAACTCTAATCCGCTTCCCCTCTCTCCTTTGCCCTAACGCAGTGGAAATGGCGGCGCCGGTCCCAGAGTGGGCTACCAAGGAGCCCTGCCTCATGGGGATAGACGAGGCCGGCCGTGGCCCTGTCCTTGGTAAACGCTTTCTCTCTTCTGACCGGTTATTAATACGCAATGCTGCTTCAAACTTTTTTCAGTTTTATTACTGTACAAATATTCAGTAGGCCAAAGTGAAATAGGATGAACACTCGTGGAAATGTGCAAGTTGCTTGAAATTCAAGTTGGTTTCAACACTTTCCTCAGCGAAATGTCATGAGCAGGACGCATTTTTTCTGGTTTTTAACAGAGATGGAGTCTTTCCGAAATTGACTTCCTATTACTGCTGGTGCAGGTCCTATGGTGTATGGATGTATGTACTGCGCGCGCTCTTACAATAACACTCTTGCCACTCTCAAATTCGCAGGTCTTCTTCACTCACATCTTCTTCATCTCCTTGTTGAAGCTGATTTACTTGTTGTTGTGTTAGTTGCAATGCACAGCTCAGTATTCTCAGTGTAGTTTTAGTTCTACAGAGCACATACATGTACATGTGATTTAGTTTCAATTGTATATCAAATTATTTATGACTGAGCCTGTGTCAGAGAGATAAACTGGGTAGCGACGTAGCGTCGAAGTTATAGCATGTAATCTTTAATAGGTTAATTTGTGACCTTCAATTTGTGTTCATTCATTAAGTAGATGCTGGCAGTAGTTAAGCACTTTGGTTGATTTGGCATGATAGAAGCTAGTGTATCTTTCAAAGACCTGATGCATATGTTTATGAACTTCTGAAATTGTGGAGGACAAACATGGGTGCCTGCGTTCCTGCTTTGGCGCCTTGCTTGCCATCTCCTCCCACCAAGTGCCGATTGAGGCTGGGTCTTGCTGTGGCAGCTGTAAATCATAATTTTCCCAAGATAGAGTGTCGCGGAAATACGTATGTTGCGTTGGATTTGCGGTCATACAAGAATGGATCGAGTTCGGAACGATGATATACATGATAGATTAGGGGTAGCACAAATTGAAGAAAAGCTTGTCCAACACCGGTTGAGATGGTTTGGACATGTCCAACGGAGACCTCCAGAGGCACCGGTGCGTTGTGGAATCCTAAGCCAGGATAGTAACGTGAAGAGAGGCAGAGGAAGACCGAAGTTGACTTGGGTAGAGGCAATAAAAGGAGACTTGAAAGGATGGAATATACCCAAAGACTTAGCCTTAGATAGGAGTGCTTGGAAGACAGCTATTCACATGGCTGAACCTTGATTGCTTCTGCTGGGTTTCAACTCTAGCCTATCCCAACTTGTTTGGGACTTAAAGGCTTTGTTGTTGTATAGCACCTGAGCCCAAACAACTCTTGCAAAGGGGCATGACAGAGAGGTGTAGCCCTGTCTCCAAAGGGCCATTACACAAGACGCAATGATCTTGGTGCGGCCATCCCCTTTTCTGAAGATTATCGGCCGTTAGAACTTTGTCATGCATGAGGATCCAGGCATGAATTTTGCATTTATTCTCCGCTTTCGCCTTCCAGATGAGTTCATGTTGGAACTTTCGATGCGAACCTCCGAATTGTATCCTGTATGCCTAGCGAGTGGAGTAATTTCCGTCGGCCGTCCATTTCCAAATAATGGAGTGTTCTACCTCGGGCTGTAGCTGGACATTTTGTAATCTGATCCATAGACCAATGAATTCCTGGATCTGTGTTGTTGTTGTGATACACCTTTGCAGCGATTTAATCCAGTTACCATTGTGTAGCTCTTGCCGGACCGTCCTGTTCTTCCTACGCACAAGCATGAACAAGTGTGGCGCTAAGTACCTGGGTGCCTCTCCATCTAGCCAGCTGTGGTGCTAGAAACGTGCTTTGTTGCCATTGCCAATCGTGACCGTGGTGGAGGAGTTGAAAAGGAGCCGATCTGTGTCTTTGCATGGCACTCCCAATCCCACCCAAGGTTTAGGATCCTGACCCCATTCTTGCCATAGCCATCTTAGGCGCAATGCCCTTCCGAACCTCTCCAGGTCCGGCACTCCCAATCCGCCCAAGTCTTTTGGCCTGCATACAGTTGGCCAATTCACCAGGCTGTATCCCCCATTTGCGTTCTCCTCCCCCTTCCAAAGGAATGATCTTCTAATTTTATCAATCTTCTTTCTTGCCCACACTGCTAGAGGGAACACCGTGAGATGATAAGTAGGCATAGAAGACATAACTGAGGTAACTAATGTAAGCCTGCTGAACCTCCCCTTCCAACCCGGCAACCTCTGGCCAATGCGCTCAATGAGGGGTTGTACGTGGACCTTTTGCAGTGGTCTCGTATGTAGCTGCAATCCCAAGTAGCGACACGGGAAAGTCTCTCTTTTCCCTACGAAGGAGGCCAAGACATGATCAAGGTCGATGTCTTGGCATCTGATTGGGTGGACCGAACTTTTCTGCAAGTTTATGTGAAGGCCCGAGACATTGTCGAATTCTTGCAGGATGGTAGTGATGGCTTCGAGATCTTCCTTGAAGGGGTTAATGAATATTGCCGCATCATCAGCATACATGGAAGTTCGCCATCTAGCTGCAGCTACAGGAAGGTTGGTGAGGACGGCTTGATGTGTTGCCAAGTCTAGTAAGCGCTGCAGCGGGTCCATGGCGAGAATAAAAAGCATGGGCGAAAGCGGGTCACCCTGCCGAACTCCCCTGCTGTGGCTGAACGCCAGACCCTGCTGTCCATTTAGAAGGACCCTTGAGGAAGTGGTGCGGAAGAGGATTGAAACCCACTCACGCCAGCGTGGTCCGAAGCCAGGAGCCTGTAGTACCTCCAGAAGGTAGCTCCAGCTGACTGTGTCGAAGGCTTTATGTATGTCCAACTTGAGGAATATGGCCGGCTTTTTTGTTTTTGGAAGGTCCGCACTATGCTCTGGACATATAGGAAGTTGTCATGGATGCTCCTTTTTTTGATGAACGCACTTTGGAATTTGGAGACCAAGGAGTCCAATAGGGGAGCCAATCTGTTTGCGAGAAGCTTGGTGAATAATTTTGCAAAACTGTGTATGAGACTAATTGGCCAGAAGTCCATTACTCGCATGGCGTCCGCTTTTTTTGGGAGCAGGATAATATTAGCCGAATTTAGCAGCTCAAAACCTTGGGAGTTTAGCATAAACATGCTGTTCATTGCCGCTGTGACATCTTCCTTGATAATTTCCCAGCACTTTTTGAAGAAGACGCCCGTGAAACCATCGGGTCCTAGTGCTTTGTCGGACGGCATGGAATGTATCGTGGCCTTGATCTCCTCCTGCGTGAATGGAACCTCTAGTGCGGACAAGTCTCTTGGGACATAACCCAGTGCGTTCCAGTCGAAGGTCCTTGATCTCGATGACACTGAACCCAGGTGACCCGAGAAGTAGTCTGCCACCACCTTCTCCTTGTCACTATGAGTAATGGCTACCCCCTCATCTGTATGCAAGCAATGTATATAATTTTTCCTCCTCCTCGTGCTGGCTCTGATATGGAAGAATTTTGTGTTTGCGTCTCCACTGCGGATGTGTGATAATCTCGCTCGCTGCCTAATCCTCGATTTTTCAATGGCCGCAAGTCCGGTGCTCCTTGCTTTTACCTGGCGACGTAGTGCAATTTCCTGGGGCGTCAGCGTTCTCATTTCCTGTGCCGCTTCAAGCTGCAATAGCACTTCTTTGACGATGGCCAACTGTAGCCGTGTGTCGCCAATTTTCTCCCTCCGCCATTTCTTGATGCCTTTGGTCACTCTTGCTAATTTTGTGTTGAGTCGCTTGAGAGGCACGTTCAATTGGACAGGTCTATTCCAAATCTGTTCTACCAATTCACTGAAGCCATCAACATTCACCCAGAAATTTTCGAAGCGGAAGGATGGATTTTTGTAGTGCAGGATCTCCCCTTGTAGTAGAAGCGGAGTGTGGTCTGACATGAGCGAAGGCAGGGAGTGGAGGAAACAGGTTGGGAAGGTCAATTCCCAATCCGGGGTGCAAAGCAGCCTGTCGATCCTAGTAAGCGTCGGACTGTCCTGCTCATTGCTCCAAGTGTAACGGCAGCCATTGAGCCCTATTTCTTTGAGGTTTAGCTTGTCGATCACCGCTTTGAAGGCCCCCATTAGACGACGGTTCAGATTTGAATTATTCTTATCTGCCGCTTGGTAGATGAGATTAAAGTCACCAAGGACTAGCCACCTCCCGTGCGCCGGCCTAGGAATTGCCTTGAGCTCTTGCAAGAATTGTAGTTTCTCAGCATCACCTTGTGGACCATATACCACCGTTATTTGCCATTTGGTCCCGTCTGCCCTCATGGTGCATGTTGCTGTGACCGCATTTGCAGATAAGTGTTGATCGGTGAGGTGGAAATAATCTTTGTTTGCCGCCAAAAGAATGGCACCTCTAGTTTGTGTGGCCGGCAATGCCACAAAATTGTTTGTGAATTTGGCACCTACCGTGCGCTGGACGATGCCTTGGTCGATGTTTTGTAGCTTTGTTTCTTGTAGACACACGATGGTGGAGGCTGTGTCTCGAACTAGCAAGCTCACTGTATCTTGCCTCACCACATCATTGAGGCCTCTCACGTTCCAGCACAGGATGTTGCAATTACGTTGTGTCATTGAAAACAAGATTTGCCCCAAATAACAGCCTGTGCAGAAACTGCAAGGGAAGAACAGACACATTGAAGCGAGTAAACTGGTTGCACCCGATCACAGTAGTATTTCCAAACCGAAGCTTACAACAGGTAGCTAGCAGCGCTGATGGCGGTAGCTTTGGTGCAGACATAGTAGAATAACAACTGAAGATGACATGGTGACCCTGAAGGAGTGGAGAGCGCTTTGGTGATTTTTGGCCCATGGCCGTCACCACTGCATACTTCACAGCCGATACATAACTGGAGACGACGACACACCTACTGAACTGAAGATACAAATGGTTGGAGCTTGACATGAGTTACATAATGTAACCCTTGCACCGAACTATGAAGCCTAAACCTGGGAGCAGCCTGCCCCAGAGTCGTCGCCGAGGCCACAAAGGGCAGTCAACGCCTGGATCACCGTCCCTGAAAGTGGACCGCCGAACAGCTTGAAGTAGCCCAGCAGCGCGTCGTCCAGCGAACGGTCCTCCATGAAGCCAAGTTTTTTCATCAGAACTTGGCGCGCCTTCGCTTGAGCATCGCCCCGCGGCCAAGATGCTGTTGCAATGCGCACACTTTTGCGCAGGGGGGCTGAAGACTGCTTCTTCCTGCGTCTGATGGTCCTCGTTCGCTGGGGTGGCCCTTGGAGCAGCGGCACTGCAGTCTGCAGTGTGACTGTGCGGATGAAGTTGGCCGCCGCGTTCTGTTGGGCTAGTGGAGACGCCATGCGCTGCCTGCAACAATTACGCCTGACATAGACGCAATTTGGGCGGTGCCTTCTGAATCGGGTACCAGACGCGGCCTGGTGGGAGCGAGGAGATCGCCTGAACGCCGCAGTTGTGGCAGAACGCTGTGCAGCCTCGTCCCTGCTGTCACCACTGGTTGGGGATGTCAACCTGTGTATAGCATGGGGGGTGAAGGACAGTCAAAACTTGCAGTTGAACATGTTACTGCTGGTGGATGCAGGGAGCCACTGTTGTCGTCGTCAGGTCTGCGAGTGTTGCACCTGTGGCTGATGATGCAGCTGTCGCCGTCATTTGTCGGCGTCTTGGGCGAGCTTCTGGGTGGGGAGCGATTTCGGCCACTGCCCAAGGCGCTTTCATCTTGACGCTCCCTCAGCGGCCGCGGATGGAGGTTGCTGGAGTCGCCGGCGGCGGTGGGCGTGGCCATGAGTGGGAGTGGGACTTGCGTAACGCCCCACCCTCGGAAGTCGGTCCCAGTGGCCGGAGGTCGTTGTTGCCGCCCTGCCTCGCGCCGGGCGCCGTGGACGGTGGTTGGCGATGTTGCGCCTCTGCTCCAGATGCCATGGCCGGCGGACAGCAATGTTCCGCCCCGCGGCAGACGCGTGTGTTCACCGCAGCAGCAGCGGCGGTGTAGTGTTGGCGCCTTCCTTGTGTGTCGAGACGAGCAATTGGGTTTCCCGCCACGTGGCATACCGTAGGGTGCCGCTGTGGCTCATTGCCTTGCTTGTTGTCCCCGGAGACCCCATGACCATGTTATCGCTGTCCTCTCCGAAAGACAAATACGGGTCAGCCCCTTGCTTGAAGCGCCCGTTGGAGGTTGCTGGGCGGGGCTTCGAGAGTTGAACACGCCGCCGGTGAAGACTCATTCGGGCGCCTTCATCGCCGTGGGCCGCGAGCCGGGCGTGTGTGTGCGCGGTGGAGATTCGCTCTGGTGCGCCCACGAGGAGCGGGGCGTGAACGGCGTGATGGCAACTCGCGAACCGATGGGAGACCTGCTGCTGATGTCGTTGTTGATGTAGTGCTCTCCGAGAGTTGAGCGCGGCCGGCGAGGTGGTGACCCGCTCGACGCCGCCATCATCGCTCCGGCGATCTGCGCGGCGTGTGTTGCGTGGTGGAGTCCTCTCCTGCACCATTGTTGTCGTGGCTGTGTCTGCGTGCTCCCCGGAGCGGTCGATTTGTCGCGACGGCCATGTCGTGACTCGACCGCTCCTCTCTTGCTCGCCCGGGGCGAGAGAGGCTCGAGCGACGTGACCCCGGTGGTCACTTTTTTTTACGACAACCACGGCGCGCTTCGTCGTCGCCGCCGTCTGCGGCGATCTTGGCACTGGTTACGTGGCGGTGGCTCTTGGCGTTCACGCGGCGTGCGTTCGCCGTTGACGACCCCAAAGTGCCAAGTGAAGTCCTTGGTTTCCACCCGGCCGTGACTGTCGGGGGGCAGCTCAAGCAGGTCGAGGTGGACGATGATGCAGAAGGTTACCCCACGTCGGCCACGAGGGGGGACTGCGCCGTCATGAACAAGCACTGCATTGTCAGTTATGGTCAACCAAGTTACCTTGGGGATATCGGAGGGATTGTAGGTCCACGCCCAGAGGCATAGCACCCTGGTGTCCTCCCGGTCCACCGACTGCTGCTCCACGTAGTCGATGTCGCACGCTCTCGCCACCGCTTGCTTAGCGATGCTCTCGTTCCAAGCGTGGACTGGAACTCCTTCCAGGCAGAGACGCACGTGATGGCGTAGCTCACAGTGGTCTCCATAGGCTTCTACCCGCCATGGCCAGATGCGGAAGTTGAAGTTGCACACTGGAAGTTTCTCCTTGGTCACCACAACATCTTGGTGGTGGGGGTACTTGAAGATGGCGAGGAAGTTCTCTGGTCGATGACGGGAAACAACGACGTCGCCTTCTAGGACCCCGAAGCATCTGCGGAGCGCCTTCTCCACCTCCTTAGGCTCCGTCTCGCCTCTGCCTCTGCACTGCCCAAGCACGATGGCGCAGGAGGAGAGGCGCCTCGCCTCCGCCTCCATTGCCGTAGTCAAGGCTGCCACCGCGCAGGTATCTTCTGGGCGGGCCGCGGGGTCTCCGGGTGCCGGCATGGCGCGACGTGGCAGGGGGGGAAGGAGCTGAGCTTTGGTGGTGTCTGAGCAGAGGAGGCAGATGGGTGTGCTGCAGCTGTGTCGTGGCCGTATGGGGGATGTGAAGCTCTGCTGCACTCCCTGGCTTTATGGCCAATTCATCTGCAGTTGATGCAACGGACCGGCTCCCTGCAGTCTGCCGCCCGGTGGCCGCCAGCGAGGCATCGGAGGCACCTCCCTCTGAGTGACTCCAGAAATGCAGAGCGTGGCGATGGCGTGCGGGGCGCTGGTGGGCTTGAATTCGCCTCAGCTGAACGCCTTTTCCGTAGTACCTTTGTCCAACCATCTTCATCGATCTCTGGATGCGTGAGGTGACCGGTCATGGCCACCCGGCGCTGCGCGGCGCTGGAGTCCTCCGTCGTGTCGAGGCTGCCTTGGGAAGGTGCGCCACCATAAGTGCAGCCTGAGGCGCTCTCCCTCGCACAGGCGGCCGCAGATCTGAGGCAGGATTTGCTGGGAGGTGGGGGTAATAGCGAAGCAATAAAGGAGCTGGTGGTTGGGGGAGGAGTAATGGCGAAGCGCACTCTGCGCTGTGGGGCAGCAGGAGGAGGGGAGGTCGTTGACTCCTGGAGCGGCAGCTCGATCGAGCCCACCACCAGGGACCGGAGGCGGGGTTGCTCGGGGTCTCCTGGAGACAGGCAAACGGCCGGCGACGAGGACATGGGCTGGGAGGCGGAGGCTGGAGGGGGCGCTTGGGCAGTGGGTGGGGGCTGGGAAGCCGCAGCGGCGGCGGATCTGGGCGCCGTCACAAGGTGCCAAGGGACGCCTGGGGCGGGGGCGAGGCTAACGGCTCTTTCCAATCTGGGTACTGCTGTCTGATCCTTAAGTTTTTTTCTAGTTTAGGAGAAGTTAGCTCTAGAGTGTTGGTTGGACATGTTACTTTGCACGGGCCACGGAAGAGTTCAAGAATAGTTTGCTACTAACACATTGACAATTAGCATAGCCTATTGATCTTGTCTTCTCAAACAGATTCAAAGACCTTGAAGGAGGAACAAAGAGAGGAGCTATTTGAAAGTTTAAAGGTCAATAGCTCTATTGGGTGGGAAGTGGATGTCATATGCCCAAAGGATCTATCTGCTAAAATGTTAAAAAAGTATGACTGCCCTTTGTACCTATTAGACTGCAAACTTGCGTTGTTATCTTCATTAGTAGTCTCATTGTTTCAGGTCAAAAGTTAATCTGAATGAAATATCACATAACTCTGCCATGGGCCTTGTTAGAAAACTGCTTGACATGGGAGTTCTACTGGCAGAAGTAAGAGCATATGTTCTTGAGTTCAAAAGGACTTTTTTTTTATGCGGGCATGTGGCTATCCTTGTAAGATTATTTATTACTACATTTTTTAGTAATTAACTAATTATATTCCTCCTTGAAAAGGTATATATAGATACAGTGGGAGATCCTGAAAAATATAGGATCAAGCTGACAGAAAAGTTTCCAGGAATCAAATTTGTGGTTGCCAAAAAAGCTGATAGCCTTTACCCTGTTGTTAGTGGAGCAAGTATAGTTGCAAAGGTAATTTCTTGAATCAAATTTCTTTGTGTAGGTACTTTCTTATAGGCTTGCGCAGTTCTAAAGTTGTGATGTGCAACTGCAGGTCACTAGGGACAGAGCCTTGCGAAACTGGGTGTTTGATGAAACGACTCTGAATATGCACATGAAAACTGGATCAGGATATCCAGGAGGTAACCAATTCCTCGTTATAAATGATTTTACCAAACTCTAATCATATGACAGTGTGTCGTTAAAGAACATCCAAATTGATGGTGCAGACCCTGATACTAAGCAATGGTTAGAAGATCACAAGCACCCTGTGTTTGGCTTCCCAACTTTAGTTCGTTTTAGTTGGGGAACTTGCACGCCCTTCTTCAAGGATGCAGTTGAGGTTACATGGTGTGTTCAAATTTTCAACCTTTATTTATGCTTCTGTGCTTTCTGTTCTTGAACTGATTTCGTCAGTGTGTTTTGTGAACTGCAAAACATTGATTCTGATTCCTAACTAGTATGATTTTGCCACATGGTATATGATACAAAGGGAGTCTGATGAAGCTGATGAGGATGGAACTGGCAATGGAAGCACCAAGCGGCAAGTGAAGCTCTCAAGCCTAGGCTTTACTGGTTTCAAAAGGAAGACTGAGGAGATTGAATCAAGCGGAAAAGGCCGCTGCAAATTCTTCCAGGCTCGCAAGCTTGAGCTGGTCAGGAAGTTCCAGTGATGTGTGCTGATTTGGTAGTACTAATGTTTGTTGTCGAAACTAGAACGTACGGTTTTGGAGCCTGATTTGTTTGGTATCTGATTTGAACTGGTAGGAATTGTGTTGTTGAGATTGGAATGGAAGATGCTGGTTTCCCCACATTGATACGTCTGCCTTTTGCAGATGTACAGGTATTTACATCTTCACATTCATCAGTAGCATCCAAGTATCCGACAGATCCTCTCATCCTCGTCAGCACTTGTTGCCTTGTTGTTATAATAATGATATAGGCCGGATGAACCAGCAGATGTTCATCCCTTTCTTGGATGCCTGCTGCAGGGCAGGCCTTACGCCCTCGGTTCTAAAATTGCCTGCTTCTCCAGCTTCCCAGTCCACGCATGATCTCATCTTGCGCCTGTGTAACGTAAGTAGATGGAGATCTGTGTCCAGTGATCCGATCATGCGCTGCATAAAACAATTTCAGATCAGACGCCTCATCTCATCAGGTACGTACGCCAAACCAAGCACATCCCTACCCGTTTGCAGAAGAAAGCTGTAACCTGTAGCAGTAGTAGTAACTCCCTTTACAGAACAATTCCCTGTAATAACAGTTGAGCTTCAGCAGACACGTACGGCTACCAATTAACTTGTATTAACAGCCAACTAATTACTTAACCAGGTAATCTACTGGCAGTAAACCTGCCGGCGCCGTACATCATTAGGGGACGGAAAGTTTCACCGCCGCGTTACTGGTCACGCGGCTGGCCGTCCGTGCCATGCCCGTGCCCGTGCACAAAAAGGTTTGCCCGTGTCCGTGCCCGTACCCGGTCGAAAAAGCGAGAGGTGAAGAGGTGGCGAAGCTAGCTGGCGCTCGCCGGCCTGCCGGGGGCACGTGGCGCCGGCGGTGAAGGTGGCACCGCACGCCGCCGTACCGATCGGGGCGCCGGCAAAAAGGACACGTTCCAGCCATGAGCCATGGCTGTCTCTTGTTGATCCCCCGGCCCGTATCTCAAGGCGTGCGTGCACGCACTGACGCACGGCGCCTTCCACGCGGGCCAACAGCTGTGTGGTGCGGTGGTCGCTTGACTAATGACGACTACATGCCTTTTTGGCACCCTGTCTTTGTGCAATAATCTCTGCTAATCTTTGCCAACTTGCTGATGCAGCCGCAGATGCTCCCGTCGTCGTCGTCTTGTTATTACGTACAATGTAAAATACCAGAAGCTGTAAAAGCACAGTTGGTTCAGACTTTGGTTCCGTCCGAAGAAACTGCTCTGAAACTCAGAGGATGTTTGCTGCTGGCCGGCTGCAGCCTCCGTGCAGATAAAAAGTCCGTCCGCCGTTACGTGGTCATCACGCAGCCTGATGATTGATTACCAGAAAAAAAAACTACCGACCATCCATCATTAAAAGGTTCTTTTTTTCTCTTTCCGTGTGTAAAACCAGCTGCTACCTGCCAGTGGCTACTGACATCTTCCCTTCCCTCCTGACCTCCCAGGATCCATTCCTGTCAACGCCGATCCCAATGCGAATAATGCGTGGCGACACTGCCATATCGGTCGAAAGTGTCATCTCAGGGTACGTACGCCTCACTGAACTTGCATTGCAGAGCTCCTCTTCATTTTTCGTTGGCTCAGTGTTAGTGTTAATTGAAAATTTTTACTGCCGTCAACTTGCATTGCACCCGACGAACACGGGACCTGCAGTTAACCTCCACCACTCCTGCAGTTCTTTATTGCTTGCCGGAGGATCCTGCACTTCAGAATCCAGATCGTCTCGCTCCTTGTTTATTCAGGATTTCAGATAGCACACACGCCAGGGCCACGTTCCGCTACATTAGTCTATTGCTGTTGCTGTTCCAAAACTACACCATCTCTGACTTGACTTACAGTTTTTTCTTCTCCGGTTCAAAACGGCCCCTGGCCCTGCTTGCGTAATTAGGCCGATTTCCATATCATCCAAGACTCAGAAATCTGAATCGTGTCATCAGTGGGATGCAGACTTTCTGATTATAATCTTTGGATTCAGTTTGAGTTGCTGACCCGCAAAAGCACGTATGAACATGAGAACATGCATCTCGGTCATTATACACATTCAATCACACAACCATGCAATTCAAATGCGTGCAGTGGACCACTGTCCATGGGAACAAAACTAGGGCCGGTGAAAGCGAAACGATCGGGATTAGTCTGTTGTGCTGCCTCCACTCCGCCGCCTCCTCCCCTCCCAGCGCCTCCGCTCTGGCCTGCGCGACCGGCCGACGGCGCGGTGGCGGCGCCTGCCTAGTCTGCCCCCAGATCCGCTGCCCCAAGCGGCCCGCCATCTCCGCGCGTTCGCCTGCGAGCTGCAGCGAGTGAGCTCCTTACGAGTTCCCCTTGCCGTGGATCGGAAGAAGGAGGTTGGGAGTGGGGAGATCTCGTCGCTGGTTCCAGTCCCCGTTGCCAGGAAGCTGCCATCGCCGTCTATGGAGCCCCAGCAGATCTCCAGCATGTAGGGCCTGCATCCCTCCGTCGAGGTGCCCTCGCGGATGCTGCTCGCCGGCCAGCCTGCACGTGGGGAAACTCGTCGCAGCCCGATAGCTGACTGCGGGCGAGGAGCTCCGTCAGCAGATCTCCAGCATGTAACCCCGGGCCTGCATGACTCCCCACACTGCCCAAGAGATCGAAGACCGCGTCGCATCGTCCAGCCCGAGCCACCGCTGTCAAGCCTCCGTCTCATCAGCTTCCGAGGATACACCGGCAAACTCGCCAGTCGCCACCTTCCTCGTCCTGTTGGATCCCGGCGCATTCATCGGGCCGCCTTCAGCGCCACTGCTGAGCAGAGGTGCCGCGTTTTCGTCTGGATGATCACACAGCCCCACTCCGCCGCCGCCGCCGCCACCGCTCAATCAGTCGGCCACAGCCTGACGACGACATGCCGACCCTGAGTCATGGACATTGTGGGACAGGCCGATATCGTGACATTCTTCGTCGGGCAAAATCATCACCTTTGCCACGGGACCGCAAGTTTAAATGATGGCCAGATCCTGCTCGTGAGGTTTCTCGCCGTTGTGGCAAACTTCATCCGACAACCCTTCGTCAATAACTTCAAGCATCGATCATCCAGGAACCCCTGCTTGAGTCCCACAACAACATGGCACCAGTGCCAAGCCATGGAAGGAGCAATGATGGGAATGACTCGCTCTCTCCCGCGGAAGATCATCCTATTTGCGCAGGGGCCACTGGGCTGCGCGAGATCCCATCAGCAGCCATTGCTTGGCCATCACCTGCTTGGTGACGCGGGATTGTCGCCAGCAGACCAACATCCCCGCAAGGCCATGCCTTGTCGCCCACCTCACCACAACGGCTCTTCCACGGAGGAACAATCACAAGGTCACCAGAATGAAGGCGAAACCTTGGAGATGACCTGCAGCTCAGCCGCTTTCTTCACGAATATGCAACTATTTTCAGCACGGTCAAGAAGATGTTTGACGATGTCCGACTTTGTCAAAAGTTGAAAGATTCCAACGAAAAATGGATGAAGCTTACTCTTATGCTTCGGCCATCATGACGGAAAAGCCAAGATAGCTTCGACGTTGAATCAAGATTGCCATGAACCAGTGAATGCTTCATTCAACGCTCAAGGAGCCGGGAGACCAACTTCATAGGCTCATTGCCCCTAGTGCTCCCCCGTGAAAGTGGCGACAACATACAACAAGATCAATTCTTCTTCACTAAATGAATATCGAGGTTACAATCCAAGACGTGAGACTTATGTTTCATGTTGCTACATGATCTTGTCATGTTGACCTACCCATGCTGGGATGATGGAGGAGTCTGTCAAAGCGTTTGCGCTAAATGCTAAGTTCACCCCCATGGGAGATCGATGCATCGGAGCTAACAAACCATCGCCTTGAGGATACACCGCAAAGGTGACCTTGCTTGGGGTTCAGTGTTGAGGAGGTGTCGTTGGACACGCGCCCGCAGTGGCTTTGGAGCGCGTCGACCCTTGCATGGACATTGTAGACACTTTGCCACCTTTGCCAGAGGATGATGGCCACCTACACGTGAGGTAGCGTCCGGCTAATAACCAAGCCTATCCAACAACCCATGCTTCCTCCACAACAACATGGCCTAGTGAAGCCACGGAAGTAAAAGAATAGGCCGAGCAAGCCGTCCTATCGCGCCTAGCAGCCATTGCTTGGCCATGTGGTGACGCTTTTCAAGGCAAGTGCCTCATGAAGCGGTTCCCTTATAAGGCGAAACCATGGAGATGACCTTGCTCTATTCTTCTTCAAAGGTCCGAAAGTCACTTTTGTCAAAGGCGCTGGTGGCACTCATCAACCAGCCATGTTAGGGCACCGTAATGCTTCCTTGCTGCTCGAGGACTCGCTCATGCGTGCTTGCCAAGCTGCTATAGAGGGCACTAAATGACGGGCGCAAGGTGAGACTTATACATGATCTTGTCGAAGATACCGGATGATGATTTTCAAAACGTTTGGCTGTTGTTCACCATGGGAAGTCGGAGCCGCTTTTCTTGCCAGGTCGGTCTCGCACTAAGGACATGTGGTGGGCGTCGTTGGCATTTGTGTTACCTCTGTGTGTGTTAGTCGTCCGGACTATGATGTTCTGGTGTCGTGAGTATTTTATGTGTTTTAATGAAGCATGAACCCTGATGATTCCACGAAGCATTGAACCCGTTAAAAGGCATCCTCTCGCTTTATTTTTACGTGATCCACCATGATTCCAACGCCCATCCCCGTACAGAGCTGCAGACGACGAACGTGGCGAGCAGTTAAAAAAACTGGCGGATTAGTCCTTGACAGCCAACTAACCCCGGTCTTAGACCCACGTAGGCCAAGGATTTAGCGGTGTCAGTCAAAGATGCAGCACATGACGCCCAGTTGGAACGATGCAGAAAAACAGGCAGCACATGAATTCCCACGGCTAGTGGCCTTTGATATCTCGGTCACTGTATATACCGGGTTCGGGTCGTCAAGTACGGAGTATGTATGACGAAGCATCCGAACCCGTTCTGTTTATTTGTAAATCACTAAATCGAGATGTGAGAGGAAAAATGGCTTTTCTTCCGTCGTAAAAATGTATTCCGTCCTTTCAAATTGTATGTTGTTCTGACTTATGTAGATACATACGTTTTACTTATATATCTACTAGCTATATAGCAAAAGTTTTGCCTAGGTTCATTTGATGAATTGCGGAATTGAAGTGCCAAAGCAAAGAAAAACACAGTGAAAAACAAAGGCTACTATGAAGGAGCAGGGAACTGAAAAAGAAAACAAGATCCGACCCGCTTACCAGACGGCGCCGATTGCTACTCCTACGTGCTAGTGGTGGTATGGCACAGTAATGCTCATGGTATCTGACACTGAATAAACTCCCACAGTCTCTCCTCGATCCTTGCTCTAATCCACACCCCGTCCACTTCCTGTTCCTGTTGCTGTGTGTCTTCCTCTCTCGCACGCTCGCACGCTGCCCCAGGGGGAACACACACACACACACACCAGTCACCACACGCAGGACGCAGCAGCAGTCTCCTCTGCAGATGATGGGCTGTTGCAGCAGGAGCAGGGTTGTTTGTCCAGTGCTGCTGCTAGTAGTGCTGCTTCTCCTGCTGAGCCCGTGTTCAGCTGAGCTCCACGCCGCAGCGATACGGCCGGCCCGGCGGCTGCTGCTGGTGTCGCGGCCGTCGAGGAGCCGGCAGAAGGCCGAGCAGCAGCAGCAGCAGCAGATGCGGGTCGGCGGCGGGAGCACGCCCTTCAAGCAGGCCGCCGCGAGCTTCGGCCGGAGGATACCCAGATCCGGCCGGAATCCCATCCAGAACAGATGAGAGAGGTACGTTATCAATGTATCATCACGTCATACACACTGACACTGAGTCACTGACACACACACACTGCGAGTAGCTCATTGTTAGCTTGTGATCTAGTAGGCTAGCAAAATGCTCGGGAAAAAAAACATATATAGTCTGAAGTCGTCGTAGTAGCGTCTCTCTAGGCACCCCTTCCTCACACTGGGTCACTCCTGGTTCTCACACTTGTGCACATGATCTCTAGTGTCTTTCGTTCATGAGAATAATGAAGCACGAGTTCTGCTCATGATTCGCTGACTAAACTGAACATTCAACACGCAGCCATACTGGAGTCTTCAACTTCCCACTGATTTCTGAATCTCTGCATGGCGTTTCATGTTTCAGGGGACGGTCGGTCCTAACCCCTAGTACGTCCTAGATGATGACGTACGTTGACGGGCCTCGACATCTGAAGGGCAGCTGGTCTGGAAGAGCGCTCGATCGAGGAGCTCAGAGATCACACAGCACACAGCACGATCGATCGAGCTTTGGATCCTTACCTGCGTCTGCTTGTGTGTATAATGCAAGCTGGTACTAGCTTCAGCAGAAGTAAAACCACCCAGGAAGAGGAGAGGGCAGCACCACACCAATCGACCGAAGCAAATGTCAGGGGGCGGGCGGGCAGCGACGGTTCCCGGCGGCCGGCAGGCAGAGTCGCAGAGAGGAGAGATCGAATGGACGACGACGAACTCGACTTGAACGAGATGGGCCGGGCCGGGCCGTCTGGGAAGAAAAGCGGCCTTGGGTACTTTTATGATGTGGGCTGGACCAGATTTTGATGGGGTTATGGGCCTCTTTCCCGGTAGTAATATTGTCCGTGCAACCCTGGCTCCTAAAATACTTGGACGACAGCAGTTTCAACTGCCTATTGTATTCGTCGTTACGGTAACGTTGTGGTGCAGGCGTTCGTCCGACACTCCTTGCTGGGACGCGATGTCAGCCTAACTATTCCTTTCCATCCGTTTGGAAGTTTTAAAAAATCTCTTGTCCAGTCCTATCCTCTCGTCCACTCGTTCTAATCCGCCCAGTCACCCTCCCTCACCGCACCGCACCTCTGGACGACCCTGCTGTCGCAAGGTCCCACAACAGGACGCTCTCTCTTCCCCCGCTCCCTCTCCCCAGCATGAACCACCTAGTCCGATGTCTCTCCCGCGTGGTCAACCTTCCTACATTGCTCCTTCCCGCAAGGCACCCGACCCCTCCCAGCGCTGCTTCGTATGCCCACGCCGCGCCCCCATCCACCTCGCTTGTCGTGGAAGGAGAGGCAGGGGAGGCTCAGCTGCTGCACCACCCCTACCTCCCACACCGGGGGAAGGGGAGGCTGGCTACGTAGTCCCCAGGTGGAGGTCCCGCTACGCTTAAGGCGAATCTTGTGTTTTTAGTGTGTTTCAGACATTTCAGACTTATGTTTCAAGTGTTTTATCTGAATGTTGCAAAAGTCGATCTAGGATGTTGCATATGTTGTTGCAAAGGCAATATACACATGTTGTAAGCCTATGTTTCAAATATTTCAAGTGTTTCAGACGTTTGTTTCAAATGTTTCATCTGGATGTTTCAAAAGTAGATCTTAGTGTTGCACATGTTGCAATGGCTACTCATGCATGTTTCAAGTGTTTCATCTATTTCAGACTTATGTTGTAAATTTTTTATCTAGATGTTTCAAAAGTAGATCTTAGTGTTGCACATGTTGGAATGACTATACACATATGTTTCAAGTGACTACACACATGTTTCAAGCGTGTTTCAAGTTTCATCTGTTTTCATATTTATGTTGCAAAATGTTTTATCTGGATGTTTCAAAAGTAGATCAAAGTGTTGCATGCCGCCGTATGCCTGCTGCTACTAGTGCGCCGCCGTGGTTCACGTGTTGGCGCCGGAGGCCTTGCAGACGCCGCCCGACGCACGCATCTGCAGGCGGGGCAGGTGGGCACGGGTCCCGGTTTCGCCGTGTGGGCGCGGGGCGCGGTTCCACCGTGCAGACGTTGGATGGGCACGGGGGCGCGGTTCTACCGTGCGAGGCGCGGGATGGGCGCGGGCCACGATTTCGGACGCTGACGCTGGTTGGGAACGGGATGGAGCGCGTGGGATGCGATGCGGGCACGGGGCACGGGAGCTGCGTCTGGATACGGGCTGGGCTGGACGTCCAGGCTGTTGCAAGCCCGTCGTCATTATGATCACAGGGATGATCATCTGCCGTGGAGTCCTCATGCTTTTTTTTTTCACTTGGGAGTTCCATTCCGCCTTCCTCAAACGAAGATGATGAGAATGGATAATGTAACAGATTGTTCACCCTCTGTAATTGGAACGACATGAACAATGGTTCCTTCCTCCTCCTCTGAACATGAACCGCTCCGTGACCGTGCGTATGCATATACGGTAGTATTATTTATGTTGAACCTCAGTACAAATTAGTCGTCAAGAGATCGACTGCAGGTGTTCATGATCCACGCTGTTGCTGCAGCCTGGGTTCATCGGTCCAGTGATCCAATCATCATTTGCTGCCTAAACCAATTCAGACCCGTCTTTTTGGAGACAGCCGCTGAACAATTCATCAGACACCTAATGATCGAAGCACCGTACCTATCCGTTCCGATCGAGAGAAAAAGGTGTTGGGTAAACACCCTTTTCAGCTCCCAGCCACACATTCCCTGGAGGCTGCAGCAGTCCAGCTCCAGCACAAGACAGGCAGGCACGGTTAGTTAAAACTTAAAAAGCCTAATCGACCCCGGTAATAAGTAATAATAACTGGCAGTAAACCTGTCGGTGCCGTACAAGTACAATTCACTAGGGACTCCGGCCAATCCTTGTTTACGCGGCTGGTCGTCGCTCGCTCCCGTGCAGAAAGCTCAGCCGCCGCCGTGTCCGCGTGCGCTGCCTGTGCGTATGAAAAGCGGGGGAGAAGCTAGACCTGGCGTGGTGCTCGCCGGGCAGGAGGAGGGCACGTGGCGCCGGCGGTGGCACACGCCGCCGTACCGATCGGGGCGCCGGTGAAAAGGAGCTTCACGTTGCAGCCATGTCCAGGCCTGTATTTTACCAAGACCAATGCTGATGATGATGCTCGTCATCTTTTTACTGTGTTAGGTCCTGTTTGGTTCCAACTCCTAAAATTAGACAGCTCAACCACCTCCTAAAATTTAGTCTGGTTTGGTGGACTAATTGTGACTAAACTTGACATGTGCATGTTTAGGATGACAAAAACGCCCCTAAGCTCTTGCCCCTGGCATTTGGCCGGCGGGGAAGGGGAGGAAGGACCATCGGCCGGCGGAGAAGGGGAGGAAGGAGAACTGGCCGACGGAGAAGGGGAGGAACAAGTGCCTGCCTGCCGGTGAGCTCCAGCGAGATCCGGTCAAGATGAGCTTGACGCGCGAGATCCGGTGAGCCCCGTCCCTAGCGTGCGTGGCCGGCCCGGTAAGCTCCGGCGAGATCCGACACCGTCCTATCCCCAGCGCGCGCGGCCGGCCCGGTAAGCTTCGGCGAGATCCGACGCCGGCATGGTGAGCACCGGCCACGGGCGGTGGCGGCGCCAAGGGCTCCGTCGTGCGTGCGTGCCTGGAGCCCCGGTCTCGAGCGAGTGGGGTGAGCGGCTGGGCGGGTGGTGCGGCGAGCGAGTGGCGATGGCCACGGGCAGCAGCGAGCGCAGGGGCGAAGCCCGGCCGCGGGATAGGGTTGGCGCTCGGGACAGGGCAATTATGAGGGGCACCACCTGTCCAGGTGGGCTTTTAGTCCCTTTTAGTAAGCTTTGGGTGACTAGTTGGCTAAATACCATTTAATCCTATTTAGTCAAAGTGTTTGGTAAAAAAGTTACTAAAAGGACTAAAAGCTACTAAATTTAGGAGCCCTTACTCAGCATTCGTTTGGCTTCGTTTGGCTGCGTTAAGTTATTACTATTAGAGGATTAACACAAACTGCTCTCCCTGTCTCTGCAAAAGAGATAAGTGGTTTTAGACTTTCAGAGTCTCTTTCAGACTGTCCTAGATCCTGAGACCGGATGTTCTTGCTGAAGTCCACCGACCATCGAAAAGGTAACTGAAGCGCGTCCATCGAGATTCCTGAGCGCCTGCCACCACCCATATCCGTCCTTCCTAGGATCCATCCATCCCCATGTCACCGCGACGCCGATCCCTATGCGAGTGCAGTAGTGCACGACGACACTGGCACTGGCAGTGGCAGGACTGGGCGACTGGCAGGCTGTCACTGAACCTGTGCTGCTGGGCCCCTCCTCAGTCATTCAGTGTTAATCAGACAGGATCATCGCAGTGGAAATCTTTGGTTATTTACGACTTTACCTGCGGTTATCAGCTTTGCACCATCTAATATTGTACTCCTAGCGATGCATTTGCAGGCAAGATAACATCCACCAGTCCTGCCTGCGTGTTCGTCGGCGTGGCCGGAGGATCCTGCAGAACAGATCGCCCCCTCCTTGTTTATTCAGCCGGCACGTTGCTCTGCGGTAGTCTATCTATTCCTCAAAAAAAAAAAAAATTGCTGTTCCAAAAGTGCCTCAAGTAGTCAAGTGTGTCTGAACTCTGAAGAATACTACCGGTCTACCACTCCCTGAACCTCCGGCTATTTTTTTTTCTCGAGTTCAAACCGGTCCCTGCTAATAAGTAAGGCCCGCCCATCTTAGAACCATGACCAAAGTTCCGAAATCTGGATCATGCTGGCCGGTGCCATATAATGCACCATGTCGATAATTTTCTACTGCTATTTAGATAGACTAAGATTAGAATAGAATCAAGGGGAAGGAAGAAACTTCGACAGGTAAATGCAAAGCAAGTGAACGCAGCAGCAACCAGCATATTTCTACAGACTGTTTTCCGCACGTCACGTGCCTCCGTCACGTGATCCAGCGCCCTCCCCTGCAGAAAGGAACGTGAGCGGCAGTTAAAAAATTCTGTGCACCAGTCCTTGAGGCCAACTAACCCCGGTCTTAGGCCGAATTAGGCCAAGGGTTTAGTAGTGCAGTCAAAGATGCAGCACATGACGCCCAGTTGGGAAGATGCAGAAAAACAAGCAGCACATGAATTTCCCCCGCTGGATGCTCGTCTGCGGCAGGCACTGGTGCCCTAGTAGCGATTAATAGTGTATCTTGGTTATACTAGACTATAGTAGCGCCGCTCGCTAGTCGCTAGGAGGTGTGGTGGTGATTATGGTATCTGACACTGAATAAAACCCCCCTCTAACCCCACGTTAACTCCCACCACGTCTCCTCGATCCTTGCTCTAATCCGCACACACGCCTCGCCCACTACTGTGCTGTGTCTTCCGCTCTTCCTCCTCCCTCGCACGGTGCCCCAGGCGGAACACGCCACACGCAGTAGCAGTAGCAGCAGTCGCCTCTGCAGATGATGGGCTGTTGCAGCAGGAGCAGGAGCAGGAGCAGGAGCAGGGTGGTTTGTCCAGTGCCAGCGCTGCTGCTGATGCTGCTTCTCCTGCTGAGCCCCTGTTCAGCTGAGCTGAACGGTGCAGCGGTACGACCGGCGGCCCGGCGGCTGCTGGTGTCGCGGCCGTCGACGAGCCGGCAGAAGGCCGAGGAGCAGCAGATGAAGGTCGGCGGCCGGAGCACGCCCTTCAAGCAGGCAGCCGCCAGCTTCGGCCGGAGGATACCCAGATCCGGCTGGAATCCCATCCAGAACAGATGAGAGGTACGTACGGTAACACGTCATACTCATACACAGTGTCACTGACATGTACACACACAAACACATTGTTAGCTTGTGATCTTAAGCCAACAAAATGCTTGAAAAAAGAAAAGTCCTCAAGTAGTAGCAGCGTCCCCCACTGATTTCTGAATCTCTGCATGGCATTTCATGTTTCAGGTGACCGTCTAAACTCCTAGACGAAGCCGTACGACGACAGGGCTCGGCATCTGATGATGGGCTCTGGTCTTGGAAGCGTGCTCGAGCTCGACCGAGGAGCTCAGAAATCACACAGAACACAGCACGGTCGATCGAGCTTTCGCATCCTTGCGACTGCTGCTTATGTGTAGAAGCTCGTACTAGCTTTTGCAATTTTGTAGTGCTAGTCATCTCCCTCGTCTCTTTTTTTTTTTTTTTTTTGAATTTTTGGGTTTAGGTAGTAGTTATTAGTGCAAGTTAATTAGCCAGTCAGATGGGTAATGGCTAGCAGGTCATGTCAGGGTAGCCAGCTCTTTCCCCTTCCTGTTCGTTCCTACTTTCTTGTTCAGATGTTCTTTTATTGGTTTAGCATGCAGCTGTAATATAAACTCTCGGTACATGGAATAAAGTAGCTCGTTGCTCTGTTTTGTTTTTCTTGTTCTGAATCTTGTGGATTTTGATCTTGAGCATCTATCATGCATGTGTCTGCCGCTGCCAAATATTCTGGAAGCCCGGTTCAGAATGCTGACCGGTTGAGTAGGCAATGTACACACTGAGATGACGTGTTACTATAATTAATTATGACATGCTATATATTGTTGCCAAATTATCCAGAAACAAAGTTCTGCGAAAACTAAAATCAAGTGATGCTCAATTGCAAACCTTGAGGACAAAAAATCGAAGTTCTTCAGAAATAGGGTCCGTTTGGTTGGCCTTTTTGTTTTGGCTTTTGGCCCCAAAAGCCAAAAGCCCAACCAAAGGGATTGTTTTTGAAGGCTGTTTTTTTAAGAAGCAGCTGCTTTTCCGTAGTACATTTTTGAAAGCTGGTTTGACCCTGCTTTTGGCTTTTGGTTTTCTGCTTTTCGAAATTGGTGGAATAAAAAACTCTTACATATTTGTTTCAAGAGAGATAAAGATAGAATGTATATTTTATACTTGTTTAAAGAAATAACTTTCAGCTTTTCTACAGCTCACAGTCCACAGCAGCTTTCCCACAGCTCACAGCCCACAGCCCACAACATCTTTTTCCCACAGCCACAGCTCAACCAAACACACCCTTAAAAACTCTAAAAAGAGTAGAAAATGAGGGTATAAAGAGCAGCTTGACCCAAATGGTTAAATCCAAAAAAACGGTGCAAGCCCAGGCCCAAATAAAAGCTTTACCCACAACAAGGCTGGAGGCAGAGCATAAAAGGCCCGTACAGGCCCAAATGTAGATGGGCCCAAACTAAACAGGTGTGCCTTCCTTCTTCTGAAAAATAACAGGTAGAGTAATGATTTTCAACAGAAACTATTATTAGACTCCTCTTGAACTTTCTTTCCCCTCTGCTATGGTCCACCAGGGCGAAAGCGAGGCGATTTGCATCCTGGCATCAATTTCGCCAGCTCACCTCCGGCAGCCGCTCCGGCTCCGGAGGTGGAGAGGAGTCGCGGGATCGATGACCGGTGTACATACTCTCCCCTAATAGCTTATGTCTAGGTAGGTTAGGGTTAGTTGTCTCCGCATCAGTCACCTCATCCATGTGGATTTCTACCCCGTACCTTTCTTTTGCGGCGGCTGCGTTGGCTTCAGCTTGGTCTCCGACGACCTCCATCGTGGTTCCTCGTACGGACAAGATGAGGTACATGGTGTTGGTCCCGGTGGCTCTCTATTGCCCGCCGGTTCTTTTGTCTCTTCAGGAGGTTTTTGGCGACGGCAACGGTGTCGAAGCCTTCTCCGGAGATGGTGGTTCTGTGGGGTTTGCATTTTCCCTGCTCGAGAAATCGTGTTGGTTGCTTTCCCTTAGGGTTGCTTTGTCGCTGGGTGTTTTGGGGTCACCGGCGGTGCTTGTGGCATCCGATCCCGTACTCTTGGCGAGGATATTGCCGCTGGCCATCATTTGCTCGGGCATTCAGTGTTTAAGGTGCACATCCTGTTATGTGCCGATTGATGTAGCTTCAAAACCGTGTTGCTTCTTTGGAAGCTTCTTCGTTGAGGTGGGATTCAGCTTCAAGCTGCAAGCTCGACGTTCGTTTCAAGGTCGAGTGGTGGCCCCGTTCTCTCATGAAGATGCCTAGGAGATCTTTGTAAGGACCATAATGTAATTTTTATTTTATTCGGAGGTGCCTTTGTAAGGATGTATGTGTAATATTTTATATGAATCAATAAAATGCAACCCGGTTTTCTCAAAAAAAATAACAGGTGCGTCTGACTAGTTCGAGCAAAGATTGCATCCTTCTGTGTAGATTCTCTGTCTTGGATCTCTTCGCTCTCCTACCAATGGTCCTCCCTCCTTTGCGACCTCCTTCCCCTAAAGTGCATAGGCGGGCATTCCATGGATCCCAGATATACTTATAGGTGATGCAACTTACTGCTATCGTCTGTTGGCTTTAACTCAGTGGCTGTTGTCTGTCAGATTCAACTCAATGCCTTACAATTGCTTGTGGAATGAAGATCTTTGACGCTTGTCATTTGTTGGTGGCACCGATCAATGTCGCAGTGCTCGTATTTTGCTTTGTGTACTAAGATGAGTGCCGAACTCTATGGTTTGTTGGAGTTGGTGTTTGTTGGTTTTCGTAATCCTCATCTCTCCCTCTATGCTATGTACCTCTCTGACTTTAAAGGGTCGCTTTTGTAACCGGTGCTTTACACCCTCCATTCTCAACCTTGCCGGCATGTGTGGAAAATTATTCATGTGAGACTATCGTCACCCCTGGTGACCTCTCAAAAAAAATTAGGGGGATATCCATGTTTCTTAAAAAAGGAGAGATGCTTAATTGCAAACCTTGAGGAACAAAAAAAAAGTGTTTTTCTAAACGGTAAATGATAAACAGTCGGTCACCTACCGTTTAGCCATTATTCGGGCAAAACGTCCCATTAAACGAGCTAAACGACCAATTAAACAGGGTAAACGGGTGATTAAACGGAAACGGCGCACCACTGTGTAGCGTTGTGTGTAAACGGGTTAAACAGCCGTTTAGGCGAACAGCGAAAAAAACAAAGGTCTTCAAAATTAAAGACCCCGAAAAAAGAATAAAAAATGAAGGTATAAAAAGCAGCAGACCCAAATCCCAAAATACGGTGCAAGCCCACGCCCAAATAAAAAGCTTTACCCACAACCAGGCTGAGAAGGGCCCAGACCGAACAGGTGGGCTTTCCTCCCAAACACAAAATGGCTTGCCGCTCGTTGCGCTGCAAGCCTGCAAACAGTCTCCGTAGGGCTTATTCGGTTAAATTATCAACCGTCTCTCTCGTATTAAAACAGCTTCAGCCAACTTATCAATCGACTTTAATATCAGACGAAGACCAGTTCGTGCAAAGATTTTGCATCCTTCAGCGCAGATCATAAAAGCACGCCGATTTCTTCCAATTTCAAGTTACAGTCTGTCAGATTTGTCCGTGGCCATCAGATATTTTTACATCTTCGGATGACGTTGACGTGGCGATGGTATCCACGTTCTCGAGCCAGCTGACTACCTCCTGTATCGCCGGCCGGCTAAAGGGCGCGGCGTCGACGCAGAGGCATGCGAGGTCGAGCACGTACAGCATCTGCACTTCGTCGTCGCCGCCGCCCCTGATCCGGTGGTCCAGAACCTCCGCGTGCCTCCCCTCCGACCGCATCCGCGCCACCCACCCGACCAACTCCCACTGCTGCCGCTGCGTCGGCACCACCTCCACGGGGCGCCTGCCCGTGAGCAGCTCCAGCAGCACGACGCCGAAGCTGTAGACGTCCCCGCGGCGCGTGGCCACCCACTCCTTCCCGTACTCCGGCGGGATGTACCCCGGCGTGCCCACCAGCTCCGTCGTCACGTGGGTGTGGTCGGGCAGGATGAGCCTGGCGAGGCCGAAGTCCGCCACCCGGGCCTCGCCGGACTCGTCCAGGAGGATGTTGCTGGACTTGATGTCCCGGTGCACGATCCGCGGCGTGCAGTGCTCGTGGATGTGGAGCACGCCGCGGCTCGCGCCCCGCGCGATCCGGAGCCGGTCCCGCCACCGCAGCGCCTCCGCGCCGCCGGGACGGTCGTGGAGCCAGTCGTGCAGGCTGCCGTTCGCCATGTACGGGTACAGCAGCAGCCGCAGCCGGCCGCGGACGCAGAAGCCCTGGAGCGGGACCAGGTTCTCGTGCCGCGCCGACGCCGACGACAGCGTATCCACCTCCGCGCGGAACTCTCGCTCCATCAGGCACATGTCGCCGTTGAGCTTCTTCACGGCGAGGCGCGTGCCGTCCTCCAGCTCCGCGAGGTACACCAGCCCGTACCCGCCCGACCCGATGATGCTCGCCGGGCCGAAGTTGTTGGTCGCCTTGAGGATGTCCGAGAACGTGACGTTCTTCACCGCGTCGCCGCCGGCCTCCGACATGATTAGGACCGTGTCCTTGGAGTCGTCGCCGTATAAATCCGTCGTGGAGTCGAACATGGACGCCTCCGCGAACTTGCCGTCGTCGCTGACTGACACCTTCGATTTCGCCCTCCGGATGGCGATCACCATACATCCGGCCAAGACGACGATTACGATCACTCCGGAGCAAACTCCAAGAACGATGGCCACGAGGATCCTTTTGCTGACTAACTTGGACGAAGCAGACTCGCCTCCGGCATGGGGCTTCGTACACGGGACGGCGATCACCTTGCCGCAGAGCTTCGGGTTCTCTCGAAAGAACACCGACGGGAACGCGTCAAACTGGCCGCCCGTCGGGATCGGCCCCTCGAGGTCGTTGTACGCGACGCTGAAGACGGCGAGGAAGTTGAGCCGGTTGAGCGCCGCCGGGATAGGCCCCGTCAGACGGTTCCGGCGCAGGATTAGGAACTGCAGCTTGGTAAGGTTGCAGATCTCCGGCGGGATTCCGCCGGAGAGGTTGTTGCTACCGACGTCAAGCACCTGGAGCGTCACCAGCCGCTCGATTTCGGGCGGTATCGTGCCGTTGAGGTAGTTGTTGCTGAAGTTGAGCGTCGTGGCGATGCCGGACATCTGGTAGTACCCGCGTCCTGGCCTGTTCGGCTCTCCGTTGTTGGGCGGCGTCAGGGTGAAGGAGAGTGGCATGTGGCCTGTATCGAAGTTTTCCCTGGCCTGCTCCGACGTCAGAAGCGGCAGCTCCGCCAGCGACGGCGGAATACCGCCGGAGAGCTGGTTGCTGGACAGGTCCAGGTAGTAGAGCTTCTTCATGCTGCCGATCCAGCGCGGGATCGGGCCGGTAAGGCGGTTGTCAGCGAGGTCCAAGATATTGAGGTCCTGCAGCTTCGACAGCCACGTTGGTATCTGGCCCGTGAGCTTGCAGTTCTCCATCACCAGCAGCCGGAGACCCCTGACATGGTCGCCGACCCAGCCGGCGTCCGGCAGGGCCTCGCCGTAGAAGTTGTACGACGCGAGCAGCGCGGTGAGGTTCTCGCACCCCTGGAGGTTCCAGAACATGCCGCTGATGTTGGTGAACGAGTTTGTGGTCAACGACAGGAACTGGAGCCGGCGCAGGTTGCCGATCTCCGGCGCGACCTGCCCACCGATCTGGTTGGTCGCCACGCGCAGCGCCTTCAGCCACGCGGAGGAGTAGATGCTCTGCGGCATCGTGCCGGTGAAGTTGTTGGAGGCCACGTCGAAGATGGTCAGGTAGCCGAGGCCGGAGAAGTCAACGGCGTCGAGGTCCCCGACAAAGCTGTTGGCCCGGAGGTCGAGGCACCGGAGCCCTATCCAGTTGCTGAGCGCCGGCGGGAGCGTGCCAGTTAGGTTGTTGTGCGCGAGCCGGAGCACCTCCAGCTTGGGCAGCTGGCTGATGGACTCGGGCAGCTCTCCGGTGAAGGCGTTGTAGCTGAGGTCGAGAGAGACGAGGTTGCTCAGCTTGGCGATGCGCCAGGGATCGAGCCTCCCCTGTATCTTGTTCGACGGAATCAGCAGCTGCTGCAGCGGCTTCACGTCGAAGATGTCGTCGGGGAGCTCGCCGGTGAGGTTGTTCCGGCCGACACTGAGAACGCGCAGCTGCGAGCAGTTTCCGAACCCGACGGGGATGCCTCCGCCGAGCTGGTTCATGGCGAGGTCAAGCACGGCGAGGTCCGGGCTGCTCGGGCAGAACGACGGGATGACGCCCTGGAAGCTGTTGTTGCTGGCGTTGAGCGACACGAGGCTCGGCGTGTGGGCCCAGATCACGGACGGGAACTGCCCTTCCAGGTAGTTGCTCGACACGTCGAGCGCCTGCAGCGGTAGCGCGCCACCGGCGCCCATGGCCGGCGGCAGATCCGGCAGCGAGCCGGACAGGCGGTTGTAGCTGACGTCGACGACGGCGGCATTGGGCAGCGATAGCAGCGCCGCCGGGAACGCGCCGCCGATGCTGTTGCCGGAGAGGTTCAGGTGCTTGAGAGCGGTGAGGTTGGCGACCGCCGGCGAGATGGTGCCGCCGAGCCCGCGGCGCGGCAGCCAGACGCGCGTGACCGCGCCGTCGACGCCGCAGCCCACGCCGTCCCACGTGCAGCAGTCGGGCGACCCGCCGCGCCACGACGCGTTCAGGGCGTCGCCGGGCCGCGGCGAGAGGTCGGCGAGCAAGGACAGCAGGGCCTCCCTCTCCTCCCCCGTGCACGCTGCGCCGGCGCGGCCGCAGAGACGACACAGCAGCACCAGGATTAGTAGCAGCGTCGTCGTCGTTACCCCCGACCCCGAGGCGATGACATGGCGACTCAGCTGCATCGGCCGCTGCCGAACCGCCATGAACCTGCTGAGTTCCGGGCGATACGCATGTTTGTGGTCAATGGGATCACAGAATTCTCAACCCTAGTCGAGGATCCCAAAGAGAAGCTTCTGATTATCTTAATGCAAAGATGCATGCCCAGCTCTCTGACTCTGAGTCTTGATGAAAAGAATATAGGAGTATCCAACTGTCAATTATTGTACTGGCTCGTGCCCTCATCCAGAGAACTCATGCCCCCTAAACTAAAAATGCTTATCAAAATGCAGGTCAACTGCAGACAGCTGACATGATGCAAGTAGTAATTGCTAATGCGCTGCAAGTCATGTTTCTGTTGTAGCCTTGCAGTGGGGGACTAGGGGCAGGGTTGACTTTTGAGATCGGAATCGTAGCGCGCGGACGTCTGGACGGATGCTCGCGCGCTATACTCCGTTTCACGCTCCATGCGGGGCCGCGCCGCCCGAGCGACAAGAGGGGAAGGGCGCGCTGCGCCTCCGATTCGGAAGGACCTGGCAGCGGCGTCATATGGATGCCATGCCGGCGCCGGCGATGCCGTAGAAAGTGGGGGAGGAGAGATTCAACAACTGATCTACTTTTGAAACATCCAAATACAACAGTTGCAACATACGTCTCAAAGGCATTTAAAACACTTTAAACATGCTTCTGAAACACTTGAAAAAACACCTGAAAAACACTTGAAAACCATTGCAACCATACGCAAACATCCAAATAAAAACACATGCAACATATGCAACATCTAGATAAAACACACTTGCAATATGCGCCCGAAAAACACAGATGAAACATACCTCTCAACATCTAAAACACTCGAAACATATGCTTGCAACATGCCTCTCAAACAATTGCAACATATGCAACATGCACAACATACCCCGATCTACTTTTGCAACATCCATATGAAATAAATGCAACATACATTTGAAACGCCTAAAACACTTCAAATATACATATGCAACATAGGGGGGAGAGAGCCTAGATGGCCGCCGAGTGGGGGAAGCACGATCGCCGGGGTGAGAGACGGCGCCGCCGGGGTGGGGAGGGCGTCTCGCCCGGACGGGGGAGCGCCGCCGACTCCCCCGTCACGCCACCTCCAAAGGATCTCGCTCGTGTTCCATGGATCTCGCCGGTGTGGGGGAGAGGAGTTGCCGGGGTGGGTGAGGGCGCCGCCACTGGCTAGGGAGGCAGCCATGGCCACGCATCGAGGTAGGGGAGGGCGCGCGGGGGAGAGAGCCTAGATGGCCGCCGGGTGGGGGAAGCACGATCGCCGGGGTGAGAGACGGCGCCGCCGGGGTGGGGAGGGCGTCTCACCCGGATGGGGAGAGCCGCCGACTCCCCCGTCGTGCCACCTCCAAAGCATCTCGCTCGTGCTCCATGGATCTCGCCGGTGTGGGGGAGAGGAGTTGCCGAGGTGGGTGAGGGCGCCGCTGCTGGCTAGGGAGGCAGCCATGGCCACGCATCGAGGTAGGGGAGGGCGCGCTCCGAGGTGGGTGAGGGCGCCGCTGCCGGCCATGGAGGGAGCGGGTGGCGCACGCGATAGAGGGAGCGAGAGGTGAGCAAGCCAGCGGATGAGTGGAGGATAAGCGCAGTGTAGATTTTTTTTAATAGTGAGGGAATGAGTGGAGGAGCTGCATCCGACGGGTCGAATGCCTGGTAAGTAGCATTACCGTTTTGAGATTGCCCCTTGTGGCTGAACTAGCTGTGACAGGGGGTGTGGCCACCGCGTGTGAAGGGCAGTTTAAGCCTCTAATTAGTAATTAAGGACCAAGTTGCAATTATGTACAACTGATAAGTGGTAAGTTATGGCTAGTTGATGAGGGAGAATATTAGGATCAAGTGCGTGTACGAGTAGTAGATTAGTGGTGCTTTGACTTCATCGATGTCGCACTAGCCTTACGTGTTGTGATGGCAACTGCAGGATGGTTTTTCTAGGGATATTGTTTTTTTCTGTTGCCGTCCAGGTCCATGGCGAATGAAAATGCTGGAAGGTGCAAGCCTGACGTATTTGATATTTCTGTGTCATGATTTCAATTTTTTTATTTTAATAACGAAGTGTTACATTATGACTTCTGAGTCTACAAGGAATAGATAGGATGCATTTTCATTCCATTTGGTAAGGAATTTGTTTCTTTCATAAGATAGTCTGTCTGTTCTAAATTATAAGTGGTTTTAACTTTTTTAACTACTACAAAGCTTTTTGCTATACACGGGGGCGGATGCAACCCAAAGGTCATTGATGTCAACTCTACTACACCGGCTTAATTTTACATATGAGCATCAATCTATAATAGAAATCACACAAACTCATTGCAGGGCTGGCTCCGGCCTGGCTATATGTCTAGAAATATATGTCAAGGTACATAGTAAACACTATATACATAGAAAAAATAAAATGACTTATAATTTGGAAAGAAAGGCGCAGGTATGAAGTTCTAACTAGTGTGGTGGTCATGCATTTAGCATGTGTTTTTTTTGAAAGAGTTTGCAGCATGTGGTTTAACTATAGTTAGTACCATTCTAACTTATTTTACTCCATGTTTAGCTCTTGAACTATAATGATTTTATTAGTTTTCTTTGTTGCTAGAATGGTGTTATAATAATATCAACATTTGCACTTGCACCTACATTTCATGGCCGCAATGACCTCGAGCTGCATGTTTAAGCCTAGTGTACTCATTTTACTGTACCATTTCGTACATTCATGTGTCCTCATCCTACACAAATAAGGGAATTTTTCGCATTGTCAAAAGATTGCAGTTTTACCATAAATTCTGCATATTGCATCTTGCTCTATTGCTTGGTTGAAGCTATGGAGCTATGTTTGTGATGCAACAATCATAATCCCATGATTTCGGTGATCATAATAAGGGCTATTGTGTCTATAGTTTTTAGTTGCACTCGTCTCTCCCATCTGCCATTGATCATGTAATATGAACTTACCTCCCACTTTAACACTACCATGCTTTTGTAACATTCTTAGCATGAACATCCTCTAAGTAGGCCTGGGCGTTCGGTTTTACCGAACCGAACCGATCGGTTCTTCGGTTTTTGAAGAAGTTCAGTTCTCAGGAAACTCGGTACCGATCGGTTCTTCAAAAAACTTGGTACCGACCAAGTTCGGTTTCGGTTAGTTCGGTTCGGTTCTCGGTTCCAACCGATCAAACCGACCAATTATTGAACATGTTACAGCAGAAAAATTCAGCAAGCATTTTGGCTGTTTTCAAGGCATAAATGACATGACAACATATGCAAATCAATAAGTCACAACCAAATAACCACAACCAACACAATAGCACATTCACAAATCACAAATTCACAACCCAATTACTGATCTCTTGGTCAATGTCCTCCTCAAGCTGAGACATCTGAAAAAAGTTCGGTTCTTCGGTTATTTCGGTTAACCGAGGGGAGGAACCGATTTAACCGAACAAAGTTCGGTTCCTAAGAACTGAGAACAGAACAGGTAACCGAACAAAGTTCGGTTCTGTTCTCGGTTAGTTCGGTTCGGTTCTGGGTAAAATTTGCCCAGGGCTACCTCTAAGAGCACCCCCAATGTAGACTAATAAACTTGTTAGCCTCAATCAAAAGTTGTGCTACACGAAAGAACAAGAGATTCAAGACTACCAAGCTTACAACGCAGAGGAATGCAGAATCTTAAGGACATGGTCCCCCCCACTCCTACTGCTATGCTGAAAAGCAACTTTGCAGGTTTGGCACTCGGTCCAATGGAGTACATCGTGTGCTTGAGTGAGCACCTCTGCGTTTCTGTCAGACGAGGCTCTTTATGGTAGAACCGTCCAATTTAACCTAATCACAAGTGTACTTGTCAGCCATTTGACACTAAGTACGCATGAGATCAAGTTAAACCCGGTAGTCTATCGAGTACACCCAATGGGAGAACCCGAAAATCCACGTTTTCATCAGGATCATAAACAAGTGAATAAAGCTTACAATATTCTTAACCATTTCATACATCACTAGTTTACATAAAAATCAGAGTTATTACAAACAGACTTTATAAAAGCAGCAAAAGGAAGATCATTTTATACAAAAGCAGCGGAAGTAAACAGTTTTGAATATTGAAGCAGAAGTAGAAATATATGAGAGTAAAACTATTACGATCGTAGCGGAAGGATTTCCTCGCTGAGCCCACCAGGAGGTATCCACACACAACAGTTAGCTCCAGCATCCACCTGTTACCTGCAACAGGGGGATAAAACCCTGAGTACATAATGTACTCTACAAGACTTACCCGACTAGGTGGAGTAGTCTCCCGACTCTCAAGGATATGCAAGGGGTTATTTGGCAAGCTGTTTAGTTATTTTTGTCGAGAAGCATTACTAATGGTGCATCCTTATATTCCAAGTTTTAGCAGTAACATCAAGTTCATTACTTAACCATTCTAGGTAAGCACCTACTACTTTCAAGCATGTGGTAAGCAATCAGGACGTATTTTATAATCCGACAGTAGCCTCATCATCATCTCCATGTTCCAGTTGCATTAACTACGATATCAGTGGTGCAACAAGTGGTATCCATATCCGAGGAGGGCGGCGATTGTAATCGATGTACATCCAGTTGGGCAATCCCAAACACACGCCCGTACTTCTCTCAAAAGAGCATGTACAAGGCAACCATTCCAACCGTATGACCAAGGCCCGAAATGACCAGACCAACCCGGGGAACCCACCCTATGAGGCCCGCCCCACGAACCGGCGATAAGAACCCCCTCATAAGTTTTACCTTGGAATTCCCCTCCCAAAAACAACTGCTAGAATGGCTAGAGAAACACTCCGGTGAACGTTTTGCGCACCTTAGTCATAAGGAAGTACTAAGCTTCACGGTCAACTGTAACTCAGGCCCCTGTTATGTGTTTGGTACCTTCAAACTTGTCAAATGGCCTCCAAAGAACGGTCCTTAATCGACACTGGCGGGACTAATGCAACCAGAGCCTTGCTCTGTTGCTATAACAAATCATATCCAAATAAAAGTCCACAATCCCGCC